CGGCAGCCAGGAGAGGGGCGCGTAGCACGCGCGAGCCGGCGCACCGGGAGGGGACAGGTAGGGCTGGCCAGGGCCGGGACGGGGGCGCGACGCCCTCGATGCCAGGTCCGTGCAGGGCTGAAAGGAGCCCAGAAAGGGCGGGAAGGCTGCCTCACCGACCAGGGCCCTTTAAACCCAGGTAGCGCAGGCCACGCTGGGCCCGCGCGGCTCACATGACCCAGCCCCGCGCTTTGAACTGAGCCGCGGCCGGCTCGGCGCCTCCAGACCCTGAGGTGCCGCGGCCAACTTAACCCAGTGGGAGTTCCGGACCAGTTTACTCCCCAAAATAACCACAGGCCAAATGAGCCCGGGAGCGAGCCCTACCTGGGGCAAGCACTGCTTGGGGTCCCCGGGCCGGCGTAGGAGACCCTCGGCTAGGCGTGCGGGTTTGCAAACAGCCGAGTGGAAAGACGGGCGGGCTGCCTGCAAGAAGCGGCCCCCTCCTCGTCCCCAAGCGCCTCCAGTCTCGGCGGCTCACCCTTCCCTCTTGCCCTCACTCACCCAGGTTGACGAAGCTCATGACCATGTCGGCGTCGGTGAGGAAGTGGCTATCTTGCAAGCTGGCCAGAGGGGGGCCCTGGGTGCTGAAGACGGCCTTGTAGGGGTAGGAGAAGCCCTGGCCGTCGGGCCCGCCGCCCTCCTCCACCGCCATGGCATTGTACAGGTCCAGCATGAACATGGGCGCCGAGTTGTGCTTGCCCTGGAGGTGCGGGCGCGGGCGATGGGGCAAGCCCAAGATAGAGAGGATCTCGCGCTGCATCTCCCGCCGCTCCTGGCTGCGGAGGCGCCGGTGGATGAAGCTCGAGTGCACCTCGTTGTCCAGGCTGAAGTCAGCCAGGGCGGAGCGCAGCAGGAACAGGGGCGCCCAGAGCGCCACGAAGCTGTGCGGCGCCGCGGCGCGCAGCGAGCGCACGTGCATCGCGCCGGCTCTACGCGCGACCCGGGCACCCGGCACCGGGGCCCGCGCCGCTCCAGGTGGCTGAAGGCGGCAGGCGGCCGTGCACGCCGCTCAGTCACTTGCTGCAGACGGGCCCCGTCGCGCCCGCGCCGGACATGGCCCCTCCCCGGGCGGCTGCGCTCTGCCCGGACCCCCGCCCCCGGCTCGGCGCTGGCCCCGGGGCCCCTCGCCCCCACTCGCCCAGGCGCACCACGGGGCTTGGAAACCGGCTTGAGCGAGCCAGCCAGCGAGCCAGAAGGCGGGCGCGGGTGGGAGGAGCAGCCAGCACACCCAGGAGCCGCAGCGAGCGCCGGGGAGGCAGCGAGGCGGCGGGCTAGCGAGCGCGCCCCCCTCCCGCTCCGCTCGCGCTCTCGCTCTCGGGCGATGGCAAGCCACCCTCGTCCAAACTCCGGCGCCCAGGACAGGGGCCCTGGGTCGCCCTCCTGGCCCTGCGCGCCCCCGGCCGCACGAGAGGCCGCCTGGGGAGCCCCAGACTGGTACGCGCTGGGCCTGGGAGGAGGAGGAGCACGAGCGTCCAGGGCCCCTCCCGCGCCCGCGGCCTCCCACCTGCCCTTGGCCCCGCCCTACCCCAAGCTGCGCCCAATGAGTTCATTCATCCTGCCAGGGCGCCCTACAACTATTTACCGCGTGCCCACGGGGTGCCCAGAGTCATGCCCGGCGCCGCGGGGATGCGAGGTGGGAATCCGAGCCCACGCTGCCCGCTCCGCATTCGCGATGGGGACAGGGAAGGAGGCCTGAGGGGGACCCTGCGGATTCCGGCTGCAGCAGAAGAAGCTGCGGGGAGTGCTGAGGAAGTCCGTGCAGCAGAGGAGGCTCCCCGGAGGAGGTGACCTCTGATCCCTCTACTCTCCGCTCCTCCCTTTAATCCATCAAGTGAACCCCTCCCCACCTCCCCGAACTCGTCACCATCTTGTCTTTGCATCTATCACCCCAATGCCTGGAACTCTCTCCCCCTCTATCCCTCCCCACCACGTGTGCTGAACTTGCCTGCCCAAGGGTCCACCTCCCAGCGCCACTCAGGTGCCACTTCCTCCCAGACCAGCCAAGATAAGGTGGCTCGCCCTGCTCACCCCCACACTGTTTTATTTTAACTCCTGTCAGTCTGGAATTACTGTTTGAATTCTTCCTGCCTTCATCATCTTCTCTCACACTAGACATGGAGCATCCTGGGGCCCAGGCATGGCTCCTCTCCATCGCCCTTGAACCCAGGGCCTGGTACCACTGTGGCTGCACAAGCATTATTCGCTAAATGATTGAAGTTATGTGAGCTGGAGAATTCCTCTCCACCCCTCCCCCATGGGGCACCATTTATTTCCAACCTCTCCTCAGCCCCAGACAATACCCAGGCCCCACTGTCTGCCCTTCCTGGTCAGCCAGGCTGGTAATGTCTGTGGAGCCTGCAGCTGGCCTTGCATCCGGGTCACCTCTGCCGGCTGTGCCCTAACCCGTCCCCTCATTCATTCATCCCACAAACAACACTGGGCTGCCTACATGGAGCTCAGTGCACCCTGGGCATGGACACAGGTGCCCCAGACAACCTGAACCTGCTGTGGGGCCTTCTGTGAATTATCACTCACTTGTCAGAGCCCCTGTTCTGCATCTGTAACAACAGGGCAAAATAACACTTCACCAGAGCTGCAGTGATTTCAACCATGCTCCTTCCCCTCTTGGGGCTGGGCTGCCCAAGGAGGCAAAGCCACAAGCCAGTCGCTCCCAATATGATGGGTAGACAGAAAGTCAACATGGGATGTGGGATAGAAGGTGAAGGGCTGAGTGTGAACCCCTGTCCATTGCCCTCCTTGGGGATGGGGGTGGGAGGCGGTGGAGGGCAGTCTGGCTAAGCCTTACTTGGGAGCAGGAGAAAGCTCTAGGGCTGGTAAACAGGAATCTGGTCTTCTAGAGTTTTCTGGAATGGAGGTGGTTCTGCCATGCAGACTTTGGGGGCTTCTGGGGAAGGGCCACATGGGTGGAGAGAGGAAAGCAAGGCAAGGAGAATGAAATGCAAGGCTGCAAGTCCTCTCCATTCCTAGGGCACCCACTGGTCCTGGTACAGAGGCCCTAGGCTATGAGATGCCGCAGGTCCTGAGCCCCCTTCAGGGCTGGCTTCCGCCTAGTGTCAGTCAAGAAAGGCAGCCAGATGGCCTGTCACGTGACTCATCCCTAACTCCTCCCTTCAACAAAGGCTTGGTGAGCACTTCAACAGGTAAGTGTCAGGCAGGTGGGCTTCATGAGTGTGGGACCTGTGTAGGCACCCAGGCCCCCATGCTCAGAAGGGCCTTACACTTGGCTTAATGATCTACTGCTGTCATATTGCAATGCTTCATATATGGTCTATGAACAAAGAGCCCCCGTTTTCATTTTGCACCGAGCCCTGCAAATTCTGTGGCCCATCCCTCTGCCAAGCACAGCGCTGGGCTGAAGGGAACAGCAGTAAGTCTGAACAGCACAGTGGCCCCATGGTGACACTTGCTTTCAGACCAAGGGGTGACAAAGCAGGAACCTTAAATACATTTTGGGGGCAGGAGGGGAGGCAGTGCTTGTCCATCAGTTCTCTCAGGGAAGGATGTGCTGCAGGGCACTCAAGTGCCAGGGCCAGGCAGAGCAGGGCATGCAGGAGGGTCAAGGAGGAAGGGCCTGGGGCAAGCATTGTGGAGGGTGGGGAGCAAACACAGGGCCTACAATGTGCACCCCTGGCCATTTCCGCCTGGGCAAAGAGATAGGAGGAAATAAACTAAGGTGGTGAGAGGTGGTGGGGATCTTCCAGAGTAGATGCCTTTGGCCTGAGTCCTGGAAGGATGAGAAAGAGACCGCTTTCCCAGGGAAAAGCATCCTAGGTAGACTGACCAGCATGTGCACAGGCCCTGTGGAGTGAGGAGCAGACCCCAGGCTGTCTCCCCAGAGCTGCTCCTGCCCCCATGGCTGGCTTTCCAGGGGCAAAGCCACAGCAACTGCTATGCCTGCTGAGACAAAGGAGCTTGCTTTCTTCCAAAATCTAAAATGCTGCTCCTCTGTAGCAGCTTTCCCTACCTTTTAATCTACTCTCCCTGCTTTGAGGGGGGAGAGCCACTGATTGATCAGTGTCTGTCCACCTTTGGCCACCTAGAAGGCCCTGAAGCAAAGATTATAGTTGATTCCTCTGTGCAGCTCACCTGAGCCCACCTGAGCCTGACACACAGCAGGTATTCAGTAAGTGCCCAGTTGAGTGAATAGTAATAAACACAGACAACATCTAAAGAGCACAGCATGGTTAAATGAGGGCTGACTGTGCAGGCACCAGGCGAAGGTGTCTCCCAGAACCCTCAACCCCAAGACCCTTCTTCTGGGATGCCATCTTTTCTCATGCAAGATGAAGAGACAACACGCTCTCTAAAGGCAAAACCTGGGAGAGATAAGGTTCCCTCTGAACTCCCACAACCCTCTCTTTATCCTCCTTATCTTCCCTGTGATCCGTGTGGGAGAGGGTGTGGGCTCTTTATTTTCCCTGTTCCCTCCCCCAGAGGAGTCCCCAAGCCTGCACCAAGCCCCCAGTGAATATTTGCTTCATTGCTGAGTGCATCCATGCAGACGTGCAGGCAAGAAATCCTGGCAAGGGGTGCATCAGACATGGGTTTGAAAGCTGGGGCCAACAGCAAAGGCTATGAGATTGTTTAAGGCAAGTCTCAGGTGGGAGCTAGCAGCCTGAACTCGCCTGCCACCCAGTTACACACTCTAGCCCTGCCACTTGCAATTGTATGCCAGGGGTTTAACCTCCACTCACCTCAGTTACCCCATCTGTATAATGGGGGACTAAAAGCACCTGGTCCCTTGGGTTGCTGTGAACATCCAAAAGTTAATTCAATTCATGTAAAGGACTTTGCAAGGTGCTTGAGGGGGCAGAGAAAACATGTAATAAATGTTAGTTAGAATCTGGATGAAAAGAAAAATAGGTTAGCAGGAAAGCCTCCAAAATTAAAAATAACACAACTTTTCTCATTGGCCAAACAGAGAAAAACAAATGCACCCTGACCGTGAGCTTGGGCGGGAGAGCTCGGCAGAACGAGAAGAGTGGCATTGGAGGTGAACGGGTGCTCCCTGATTCTGATCCCCTGAGTGTCCCCCAGCTGCCGCCCCACCTCCCACCATCCGATGCCATCCAGGGCCCAGGAACTCTCCAGGGCCTATCTCATTTCCCCAGCAGCCAGCCCCCACCCCACCCCCCGCTGCGGTGCCCCAAGCCAGGGCACCCAGCGCTGGACTCCAGGGGTGTAACCCGATCTGCCCAGTCCGCTCCACACCTGGGCTGGCTGAGCCTGGATGAAAGATGGCCTGGAAACGTGAGGGGCATTATTGTGTCTGGCCGCCCCAGCTGAATGTCCACACCCCTCACTTGCTGGCTTCCCAGCACCAGGCAAGGAGTTTTCATTTCATACATCATCAGTCACATCTTGCCGAAGCAATTTTGACCAAGTCAGCATATGTCTCGAAGGCAATAAAAAGAAGAAAAGAATTCTGCTGATCTCCACATTCAGAGGGAAGTAAGGACTTCATCTTCATCCACAGATCTTATACCATCTGCCCTGGAGGAAGCTCAGCAGCCCTGGAGGTGCTCTGCACCACCCAGGGAGCCTGGGGACTCCTTCCCAACCCACCCTCCTGGCCAGGGCCTGAGGACCTGGGCCTCAGAGCTCAGCAGGGAAAAGGGGACCCTGATCCTCCCCTTGCACAGCTTTCAAGTCTTTGTGTGCAAAGAGATCTACCCTGGAGAGGAAATAAGTTTAGCACACCTGTAACGAAATGTTGCTTTGCGTGCAAATCCAGTTGCACCGCAGATACAGACTCATACTGCTCACTCTGGGGCTTTCTTTGCACAATTTTTTAAACAGAGGAGTAAGATACTAAACTGCTTCTAACAGTCTTAAGTAAATGTGGCA